TCTCACATGATTCCTTAAAAAGGACACTGTACCGATAGACTATCGGATCGAAATTAGTTATCTGATTCGTAATCTTCTTTGGCTTTTACTTATTGAGATTATACCAGATAATATATAAATAAATCAGAACCTTTTTTTTTTCTTTCTTTTCTTTTGTTTTCTTGCTTTTTGCCTTCTCTATTATAAAATTGGCATATATTATGCGCTTTTCAATCTGAAATAATAGTTGTATTGCTACTTTTCTTTTCTATTCCGGACTAAATTAATTCATCGCATTTATTTATTTTCGTTTTCTCTAAGTAACTAAGCTTTGTATAATATTACATGCTTATATTTGGATTCTTGGCACTGTTGTGGGTTTAACCTGTTTGTGTCCCAAAGAGCAAGTAAATAAATAAATAAATTAAATTTATAAATACCTATTTAAACTTAATAATAAACTAAAATAAAATAAACTAACAATTACGTGTTACAGTTGTTATACATAATGAGAAAAAGAAATAAATTAAAACAATATTTCAAATACAGCTGAAATAAGTGGAAATGAAATCAATTTCGAAAAAAAACATACAATGTGCAGTTTAAAGTAAAAAAGTTACCTGGCTCAACCGCAAGTATGGAAAAGCTTGACAACAATTCACGTTAGGAATTACTTTATTTCATTGATTTAATTATTCATTAGCGGAAATTACAATCAACCGCTCCAGTGGATCGAGATATAATAAGCGTATCTTAATTAAAACTCTGCGAGGCAGTCGGTAACTTAAATGCACGCTATATTTGTCTTAATTAGCGACATATAATTTGATCCCCAGACCAACAGCAAACTCCTTCGCCAGACACATTAGTCTCGCAAAACGTTTTGTAGTTTCCTGCGTCTTGGGTTTCGCTATTTCACTGAATCGCATTTGGTGCTAATCGCAACTTGTGTATTGCCACTTTCTTGGAATGGCTGGAATTAGAATTTTGTTTTTTGTAACTTTTTACTTGTTTTTAAAAAATGTAAGTTGTTAAGTTAAAATTCCGTGTTCTTTTTTTAGCAATAGCGATAGTGATTCAATGATTGGGCTGGCTCTGCCCTAATTGTACTGGCAAAATTGCCATTTTAGCACAATACTTTATATGTATGTCACATGCTTAAGGTTAAACATAAATCTGCACAACTGTTATTTATGCATTTTATTCGAACGAATAAGTGAAGCGTTGGATATTTAAAAATAAATTCTAGTTTTCAAAAGTGCCATTCAAAAACCGCATTTTATCTAAGCGATTTGGGATTAACCTTAATATTTTTAATTCGGGATGATACATATTGTTAAAATATTTCCGATTATTAATGAATCGCCATGTTGATCGATATAGCTCAGCGAAGGTGCAAGCTTTTGCTGATGACACACAACTCCATTGTTAGCGTCCCGGTACTGATTTTAATATAGGGTTATTATTTTCGATGTATAGAACTTTAAGTTGCCATTACTGTTCAGGATTGCGACCGATTTAACAGCTGTCAAGTGATTTATTTTCAGTTTGGTTTGGCAATTCATCATGAATAGACTTACGCCTGAATAACGCTTGCAATTTTATTTCGGAGTTCATCCGCAATCGAGCACAGGAATTGGATCTGTGTCCATCCACTTTATGGAAGATTTTGCGGAAGGATCTTGGTTTACGTGCTTACAAAATCCAACTCGTGTAAGAATTGAAGCATCAAGTAAGGCGTAGATTCGTCGAATGGGCCCAAAACGAGATTGCCGTTGTTCCCGATTTTCATAAGCGAATTTTGTTTAGCGATGAAGCGGACTTCTGGTTGAATGGCTACGTCAACAAACAAAACTGCCGCATTTGGAGCGAAGCTAATCCTCAAGTGTATGTCGAAACACCGTTACATCCAAAAAAACTGACTGTTTGGTGCGCTTTATGAGCTGGTGGAATCATTGGTCCATACTTCTTCAAAAACGATGATGACCAGAAGGTTACAGTCAATCTTGATCCGTATAACCATGATGTCCAGGAGATGTGGTTTCAACAAGACGCCGCAACATGTCACACAGCTCGTGCCACAATCGATTTATTGAAAGACACGTTTGGTGACCGCCTAATTTCACGTTTTGGACCTGGGAATTGGCCTCCAAGATGTTGTGATTTAACACCGCTAGACTACTTTCTGTGGGGCTATGTAAAGTCATTGGTCTATGCGGATAAGCCACAAACGCTTGATCATTTGGAAGACAACATTCGCGGTGTTATTGCCGATATACGGCCACAAATGTTGTAAAAAGTAATCGAAAATGGACGTCCAGATTGGACTACATCCGCGCCAGCCGTGGCGGTCATATGCCAGAAATCATATTTGAAATGTAATGCCACAAGATTATCTTTCGGATAAATAAAATTCATGTCCATCGAATAATCAATCGTTGTTTTATTGCAACTTAAAGTTCTATACATCGAAAAAAAACACCCCTTACTAGGACATTAATTCTGATTTAATTATTTTTCTGCGACACTCGCTAAAAATTATTGCCTCGAAATCCTTTTGCTTCATTTTGGGAACAAAACAAACAAGGATTTTTTAATGTCAAATTTGAGAATCGGCACGTGCCTTCGAATCTTGCTGGATTTCAATTAATACTTTGGTAAACATATAAAACTTATTGCCCAAATAGCAAATATCGCAATAAAAAAACTTTAATCCATTCACCTTTTTCTGCCGAAAAGCAAATTAAGTTGTGCGAGACATAAGTGGTAGTGAGTATTAGTACCCACTTTAATTATCCAGGTTTTATCTATGGTCCCTGCCGTCGGCAGTCGAAGCATTATCGCATTAAAAAAAAAGGCGTCAAGTGTTTGAGCGTGGTCCAATGTTGCTGTTAGTTTTCTACAATTTAATTGTGCAGAAATCAGCAATTATTTAGTTGGGATACTTTACATTAGTTTCTGTTATTCTGGTGTTGTTGAGCATATACAATTATTTAAAAAAATGTACACGTTAAAGTACAACACGACAACTTTTAGCGCCTTCTTAAAATTATTTTTGCTTAGTTTGATGACGGATCAATGATTAACAACTTTACATGTATTAGTATTTTACCAGGACAAGGTTCGAATAGTCTTAACCTAAACTTCGCCCTGGAGATACGTTTTATTTGTTTATTATAAATAAAGTCGATTATTATTAATATGTATGCGTTTTTAATTCTAGTTGAGTATAATAAATAAATAAACGTTAGATATATTTTATTTGTTGTGCGTTTATTCAAACTTCTATCAAAGTTTTATCAACAAATTGAATTAATTTTTAATTAAATGCGATTTATTATTATTAGTAGTATTTTAATATTAACTTATGCGATTTAAGGGACAACTGTTAAAAAATTAAACTCAAATCTAATAAATAAATATGACTTTAATTTCTAAAATACGAATGTGATATATACAAAATTTAAAATAGGTGTATTATATACAGTATACATTTTCCACAAATAATACAAAATTAAGGCTATACCTATCGGATATACATACGATCTTTAATTGCATTTTATGCTCAAATAAATACTTATGAATAAAAGATTAACAAATCTAAAACATCGTTGTATTGCGAGATTTGCTAACTATTGATTTTTATTAAAAAATAAAAATATGTTTTACATGAAGAGGTTGTTCCTTGAGAACTAAAACAGTACATACATGGTATATGGAAAATTAACGACAACAAAGGCATCAGTAAATTTGTGGGAGTGATTTCAAATTAATCTGACTTAAAATCATTTTAAATTATCTTATCCGAAAATGTTTCCTTTCCCCTAAAAGAATAAAAATTACTTATTGAAGTTAATCACATGAGGTTACTTTTGATAATGTTAATTATATACCTGTTTTTAATTTTCCTATTTTTAATGCCAGTCACCTGGTAATAATTGATGTTGAATACTTTGTACCTAAATTAATATCACAGACTGGCAAAAATTATAAGAATTCAAAATTATTTGTTTTCAGGAGCATTTTGTTACTCATAAAAAAAGGAAACTTTGCCGATATATTACAGCTTTCCGGTTTTTCTGCAGTTTCGGTGCAGGGTGCTATAATCAGTACACTCAGAAAAATAATGCGTTTTAAAATGCACAAGAACTCACCTTGTAATAAATCAAGTCTTAACTTTTCAAAGAAACAGTTTTAGTTAAGGTCTGAAGAAGCCAACAGAATGATCGGCGAAACGTCAACAAGTTCGATTCATTCACAACCGACGTAGGAGGAATCCAGAAGTTTGATAAATAATAAATTAAGTTTTTTCGACAATTTAACTAATCAAAGGTTTGTAAATATTTTGATTTGTCTATAAATCTCTTCCTATATTTAATATATTGCGTATTTGTTTTAAACGGAATTATGTTTACAACAAATTATTATTCGCTTATCACAAAAAGGAAAGTTGTCCGTTCTCTTATAATAAGATGGCTACATTAATTATTTCAAATTTGATGGGCGGTCGGTTGTTACTTCTAAAAGAATTTTTAGCTTTTTAAAAAGGAAACAGTATCTTCCGTCATGTAACTTTTGCCAACCAATAGAACAAAGCGATGAAGCTCGTCGATTGCGTTTTCAGGGTCCAAAGGTTTTTTTTTAATAAATTCGTGATTCAAATACCATTTACCACACTTGTTGCATAATAGTATATTACAATTTATAATGACGGCCCCTTCGTTTTAAATCAATATCATGTTTAAATTATTATTTTAAACATCCAAAATAATATTTTGTGATGCTTATTTTTTTATCTGTGTCAATATAATTTGATTTCAGTACAATACAAAAATTATATTTAGTTTTGATCGAAAGGTTAGCGTTTTCTTTTATTTTACGTATTTTCTATGAGTGTCTTATTAAAATACTAGCAAATTTTTGAGTTTTGAGAACCCATAACTAAATATATTATATATATATTATTAATGTTCTTTGTCAACGCATTTTAATTACACTTAACTAAGATATTTTGAAGGGTTTTGAATTTTGGCATTAAAAACGATAAAAAATCGGATATAAAGTAAACACAGTTAAAAATATCAGTCGCTGGTCCTAATTAAAAAGTACATTTGGATAAGACGATTCATGTTAAATCGATGCCGAGTTTTTCCGTTTAGTTTCCGGACCTGTCGAATAGAATAACGTCAAAATATTAATTTGTGTTCAAAGACTAGAAATAGTTTCTCCTTTCAAAACTGTTCATTTGGTACAAAGAGACATATTTTAAACGGTTTTTATCAATACGACAACGCATCTGCTAAAGATGTGATCCGGCTAAAGGGTGAGAACCAATCCCGGTATTCATCATATGCATCGCAGGATTGCCCGACTGTAAGTACATGTAATAGTTATAATTTTGGGCGTGCTCCGTGCTAGGTGGTGATGGTCCAGATGGAAGGGCAGCCGCAGCTCCCGGATGTGGAGTTCTAAAAGCAGCCGCATGCACTCCAGCTAGAATATCGGTAACCGAATGCGAACTGGGCCAACAATGGCCCGGACTATGCCTTTGAGACGGTGACTTTTGTTGCGGGTATGGGTAACTAGGGTAAATATTGTAGATCGAATGACCGTGCGGTGATCCGTGCACCAAGGAACCGATTTTGTTTCTGAGAATCCTGCTGATCGAACTGACGGAAGGAACGTTGTATTTGTCACAGACGCCGTCGGAAAGCAATCTGTCCCGGATTTCCCAAGCGAAAATTCCCGGGTCTTTTTGTTTGAGTTCCTTAATGTAGGCCACCACTTTGGGAGTTGTCACTCTGGGTTTGGAACCGCCTATAGCACCGGGGAGGATGGAACCGGTTTCGTGATATCTGTGAATTAATTAAAATCCATTTTGTAGAAATTATTTCAACATCTAATAGATATACCTCCACAGAAAAAAACAAATTCTTGATTGTACATTACGTATCTATAATATTTTTACTCGATTTAAGTTTAAGTATTTTTGAATTAAGGATACCAGTTTAAATTAACAACTTCAATGTGCTTGAAAAATGAGTATGATATTTTCAAAATATATTTTTCATTGTGGTAAAGCGTAAAGTCTGTTCATAGATATAAGAAAGTGACTAACTGATACGAATTAAGGAAAGGCCCGGGCAAGCTGTAAGAATGAAATATGGCCGAACAGGTCCGTACTTTGTTTAGAATTTAATTATTTGGGGTTTTGTTAGGAAATATACTAAACAATATTTACTTATTTATGTATGTATTTATGTTTAAATCTAAAATAAAATTACAAATTATTTTTATTACCTACTTAAATTACTTAAAATTATTCACATAATATATCATTATTTATTATTATTTATTAATTAATTATTATTTGTTCTATATTATTTGCAATATGGATATACGATTGTTCTGCTTTTTCTATATGTTTAACAGAAATTGCCCAACTTTGTGGAGGGATGTTAAAAACTTCGGTTTCTATAAGTTTGAGGACATTGGAGTTAACACGGGGAAAAACATTGTTACGACGAATGGCAGATTTCAGGTGGTGCCAAACATGTTCAATGGGATTAAATATACAATGGTAAGGTGGAAGCCTTTAAACTGTATGCCCTAGATTTTTTGCATAATTATCACAGACGTATTCCTTTTGTAGGTTCAAGCTTTGTAGAACCTCAATTAATTTCTTTTTGGTATAATCTACGTGAAAATAAATGTCGTTAGTATACACGAAGTTTTGGATTGTTGCTTTTGTGTCATATGAGGAAGGGGTTGTAGTCAACTGTCTACTGTGATAACTTGCATTGCCCATTACAATGACGCTATTAGGAGGAATGTTTGGAACTAGTTTGTTTTTAAACCAACTTTCAAATAAATCAGCGGTGGTGTCTTCATGGTAATCCAGAGAAGAACCTTTAATATTTTTCGCAGAAGAGAAAGTCCATTTTGAATCCAACCATCTTTAGAGCCAGCATGCAAAATAGTTATTCTTTTACCTCTTTTTGATGGCGCGTTTGTTTTACACTTATCAGTTGAGTCAATCCAACCCTTTTCCGGGGTGTCGAACCAGGTTTCATCCAAGTAAATAATTGGCCAATTTCTTTAAATCTAAAACCCATGTGTTGAATACACTTCCTTCCATAAGGTAGTTCTGCTACATTTAACACCGATTTTATCTTTTTCAAGCCTCCTAAGATATCTAATGTAGGCACGCTTTGTTCCTCGTATAACTGGCAAATTTTACCCCGGATTATATCTTGATCACTTTCATCTACACTCGAGAAAATGTCAGCATCGCTTCTTTTTTTCTTCGCTGAAAAGGCATTATTCACGATTTTCCATACAGTTGATGTTGGAATTTTCGTCAATGTGGCCGTTTCTTCTAAAGATGCTGGCACCTCGTTTAATGAGAGTCAAATAAACATTGTTTATCACTTCCTTAGTGTCAATAGAATAGTGTTTTCTACATTTGGGCGGGAGCATCTCCTGAGATACACTAGACTCGCACATATTTTGCATAATTCGCACACGATTCGACACACGCTATATTACAAACGAAATAAGAATGATTACTAATAAGCTTAAACTAAGTAGTATACCAAACCAAAAAATATTAAACACAGGTAGGTATAAAATTATTTTCTATTACGGACCACAATTCTACCTGAATTTAAATGCCGAAACTTTAGGTAATAATATTGTTGCATTGTGTGTTAATCCCATTTAAAAGCAATTGGTCACTTTCTTATATCTATGAACAGACTTTACCATACATACCCTCGATCTGAGAACATGGTTGTGCCGTATTCTAAATAAGACTATTAATTAATTATTAAATTATGATATTCTTGATGTAATAATTTGAAAATACTTTTAAACTGCATTTTCTATTATAGTATGTAATTGTGTTTGGTTTGAGTTGATCGCATATCGTGGCTACACCAAACCTGACGAATTGTAACGAACTTTCAGTGCAGTTTCACTTTTTATCGGTGTAAGGTGTAAGGATTGTGTAATAATAATTATAAAACTGTTATAAAACTATTTAAAAGTATGTATTTAGAACACTAATATTACTACACTTACTACCCACAGCTTTTTCACAAAACTTCTGGCTACCTCCTGTGTCGGTTGTTGTTGAGTCGAACTTTGGCTTCTTCAGAGGTTAACTGACACTGGCTCGCATTTTACTCTGTACCTGCTTACATATTGTTTGAGGGGGACGGAGCTATAGATTTTCGGATTTTTCGTTGGTAGAAGAATTTTAGTTATATCGAATAAAATTTTATGTCCGATTTCGTGATTTAGTTCGGCAACTGCTAATGAGTTTATTTGTCTTTGTCTCAATGTTCTTTGAGTCTGGTTGATATTTTTCGTCCTATCTCTCCAATGTATGAAATGCTGTTAACTCCTGGCATCTCAAATGGTATTGGTCGGGATCGAAGATGTTGAGAGATTTTTTTATATTTCTTAAGAACTATTGATATGTGGCTAGTTAATTCTTGAATGTAAGGAAGGACAACAGTCGCAAGCGCGGGATTACTTTCGGACTCATTGCTTTTGCAAAGTTGTGGTGAAGTGTATTTGTGTGATGTGATTTCTAATGTGGGAATTATTAGAGAGAAGAGCAGATGTAGAGTGTTAATTCTGGAGCTGAGATAGTTTTACGGCTCTGTAATGGAGAACCCATAGCTGTTCCCGACATTTGTTCAAAAATTTTACAGTTGTAAGAAAAATATATTCCAGGCAAGCATTTTTCAATTAAGGTGAGAAGGTTTCGTTCCGGACTCTGGGATTTTAATATATCTGAAATGATTTTGAGAGTTTCAGTTTTAGTAAAGAAGGCTACGACGAAACTAATCAGAATATCTTCTTGTGAATCTAATGAAAGAATTCAATTGTTAATTGAAATGAAAGGAATTAATTATGAAACTATCAGTTTTCCCTGTAAAAGGTTTTAATATAGAAGCTAGATATTTTGCAAGATAATATGTTGGAGAACCAATAGTGCTGACAATAGGTCAAAGAGATAATCCTAGTTTATGAATTTTAGGGAGTCCGTGGAGACGAGGAATTTTAGAATCATCAGGGGTGACAGACTTTTCACGGAGTCTTATAGAGAAGAACCCAGCAGGATGATTGGCGAAACGTTAGCAAGTTCGACTCAACAATAACACGCAGGAGGAATCCAGAAATTTTTATAGTTGCTTGTGGATGTTTCTTTGACAAATTTTTTGAGTATGTTATAGGGAGTAGGTATTTTTCCAAATACATGTGACCATGTAGCCATCTGTTTAAGAATATTCGGGCCACATCCAAATTGTGATAAATTTACGCTGAGTGATCGCAAGTTCTTGTGAAATTTATAAGCCCGGGAGCTAATCAATAATAATGAAAAATATTTGTACGTAATATATATGTGATTCTTCTATTTTTACAGGACTTGATGCAGACTAAAAAGTGTCATGACACAGTGTTAAAGTAGTTGATTTTGTTTATACTGTTGATGTATTTAAGGCAAGGAAGGAATATGTGCAATAATTTTGTCTATATTAAGTGTAGTTCTGTATTTTAGAAAGCAGCAATTACCATGTTCATGCACTTATTAAGCTGAATAATTTTGTATCATTTATTAATAAAAAAAAAAGGGTTAAACTGCATTCTCTTCTTTTTGTAAGATTTACTTACTATAAAGAAAAGTAGACAACCAAACACTAACCGCAAAGCTCTGACTCTTTCAATTTTCGAGATTAAAAAAAAACGTCTAGAAGTAGTTTTAGAGTATCTATTAACATGTTGATTAACTCTGGATCCTGAATCACAAAAATTCTCTATATATAATATAATAGAATATAATAATATATAATATATATAATTAATGCAAATAATTTAAATATCTGCTTCGGCTTAGCGTCTTAATAAAATGTGTCATTTATCATCAGTCTTAAACAATGGCAGACATTTATTTTTCTTCTATTATTATTTTTGGTAACACCTCTGAAAAACCGCATTTTTAAAAGTATTTCTTAATTACCTTTACTTAATAATAATTGTCAAAAATAATTGGTCAATAAATAACATGTTTTAATAAAAAAAATTTCAATTGATAGAATTTATTTTGAAAATATCTCCAAGATCAAACAAAGCAAGTGGTTGGATGGATTGACATAATGTTTGATTTAAAGCAACTATATGAATAGTTTTAAGTATATATCTAACTAATTTAAAACTAACAAAAATTCAATACAAAAAATGCACAATAAATAAAGCAAATTTAACTTGAATTACCTACATTTTTGTTTAAAAAATTTGAAATACCCAAACGAAGCATTTAATTTTGTTAAAAGAAACTTAAGATATTGAGAATTTTCCATTTTTGTTTTAAGTCCACATAGTCTTGAATATATGAAACAACATGAAAAATATTGAAGATGGACATTGAATACGCGCATGAAAGAGTTATTTTAAAGCTTTATTTTAATCAACCTGGCCGCTGGCGGTGGTGAGGGAAGGATCTGTTTGGGTTGACTGTATCAAATGAGCTAGATCTCCGCATTTCTTACTCTATATCTTACGCTTTCGTTCTTCTTCTAAAATTGCAAATAATGTTAAAATGTAAACAAACAAAAGCAATGTTTGTTGAGCTGTAACGCCCCCTAGCGGTTAGTGCCAAATGCATGTTATTAATGTTTCTAAAGTAGTACGGTATACAGTAAAGACCTAACTGGTTAGATTCCAATAACCTGACTTTGAGTTTTTGGTAAGCGAAATAGGCAGGGGCAATTACCTTGCTAGAATTTTCGAAACGCAACCGTGCGAAACCCTTAACTGTCTGGAAATATCGCAAGGTCTAATTCCAACCTGCGATAGTTCTACAATACGCAACCGAACTGCGTTGGGCAGAGGCCGACCGTTTACGAATACTCCTCCGAGCTGATTGACTTCGCCATATTGCTGAACCTGGCCATCTGCAATGAAAAATGAACTAATAAATATAACAATAGCATTAAATGAAAAGAATTACTAAAGACTTAATCATAAATACAAGGAATTAAAAAATACATGAAAATTTGTAATATAATTAAATTAATATATAGAATCACGGGAACCACTTTTATACTCTCAACCAAGTGTATTACTAAAAGAGTAAGGAGTTCAAAAAAATTCTTTAAATTTACAATTACATAATGTTCTTCCTAGTGTATGTCACGTTTATACTTCTACATGCATTACCAACATATATACAAAACTAACCAAAACTAAAAAAAATAACAATAAATGATAAGAATTACTAAAAAACTAATAATAAATACAGTGAATTAAAAAATACGCATTAGTAATTGCCTGATTTTTGCGATATTATAGAATGATCAATTTTCTCAAATACACTTCAAATTTCGTGATATTCAATTTGTGAAATAATTAAACAAATATGTAGAATCACAGAAACCACGTTTATACCTTCAACCAAGTGTATTACTAAAAGAGTAGGGAGTTCAAAAAGAATTCTTTAGATTTACAATTACATAACGTTCGTCTGAGTGTGTTTCACTTTTATACTTCTATATGCATTATGAGTCTGCAATTACATTGAAATATTGTTTTTACCACGTAAACGAATTTTCAAAATATTCAAACTTTGATGAGGTGTGGTGATTTTATGTGGTGTTGTTATTATTATTATTATTCGTTTTCATCGCCTATTACATATTTTATGTAAAAATGATTTTTCATCACAATTCACTTGCTATAATGTATTTTATAAATGCAAAGGTCCTTAGCAAATATTCTATTCTATTCATAAATAACTGAATTAGATCTAACGAGCACCCACCAATATAACTTTTAACTAACGTTCTATCTTATACAAATTTTTAAGTGACAAACTAACATTTTATTTAAAAATATCAAAGGTTCATTCTAGTAAAATTCGTCCCAAATTACAATTTAATTAAAACCCTCTATAAAAAGACTTGCCATAAAATAAAACTAAAAACAAAAGGTTTTATGGAAGATCGGTAAAATACGGGTTTTTCTATATAGACCTAACCAAGCAGCAGATAATATAGACTGTTCATACAGGGTGGATATCAGTTCTTCCATTTTCCCCTGGAGCTACCAAAATTAAATTATCAGGGTAGGACTAAAAACATTTCAGAAATACTAATTTTATATAAAAGTTGTCGTTTTCAAAGTAAGTTCGGAATTCAGTTGTTGAAATTTTGGCTTCTTCAGAGCTTAATTGAAGCTCCGAAGAAGCCAACAAGCTGATTGGCGAAACGGCAGCAAGTTCGATGTATCCACAACCGACGCAGCATTACAGTAGCCAGAGGATATTTTTAAAAAAATTAAAGAATTTGATATCTCTTAGTTCGCTTCTGATAATTTTATTATGATAGCTTCAGAGTACATCTAAATACACAACTTTACCCAGGTTACACATATACAATCCCATTGACAAAATGGCCACTATGTATCCATATCAAACAGTTTTTAATAATACATTTTAACTTTTTTTACATTCATTATCTGCTCATGAGAGAAATTATTTCCTGAGCATTTCTATTAAAAATTTCAAATCAACACTTGAAATGGTAGGTTAAAATTAATACATCTATCGTCGACACGTTTTGCAAGCAGCATCATGCGATAATAAATGACACAAGCTGGAGGACAACATGCAGCGTGGTAAACACAGTAATTCATTTTACAGACGTTTGCGCAGATTCTTATTAAAACAAGTCATTTATCGCCGTTGAAAGAACATATTCATGCACATATATATATCGGAAAAGTTCTATATTTAATCCGCACATTCGATGATTAACTGAAATTAACATCCGCAAGCTCGATTAATATTAATTAAGGGGTAAATGAATCGTCGTCGACTAAACGGCATCGAAACATCTCGTTCCGCGTTTATTAAATAAGATCTAGATGCAACAATTTAATGAGCAATGATTCCCAACAAGTCGTGGAAACCATCGCCATTGTTATTTGCCAGCTTGTCAAAAGGTTTCAAGTGGGCCATGCGAATATGCATGGCTGGATGCGACCCAACCTATTCTAAAAACATCTGCCGCGTGCGCTGGCTGGCTCTTCCTACACGGTTGCTGGACGCTAAATTGGCCAACAGGTATTTTAATCAATTCAGCAGTTAATTTGTGAAGTTTACAAAGTATGCTCTGAAATAATTTTATTTTCAAGTTGAAAAGAATTTGTAGAAAGTAATTTAGAAGCCAAACCAGTCTGCAAATTTTAAAAAATCTACAAATTGTAACGAGTATGAAAATAGGACCGTCCCAATAAGGACAACGTATGGTATTGAGAAACAAATGATCCTAGAAATTTGAAAGTCAAAGGATATGAAAAACTTGCTGGAAATTATTTTCGAGTTCTCAAAATGGCAACCAGGACCAGTTTTCGGTAAAACTTTCTTATATCAAGGTTTAATCATATTTTAGATTAAGATAAAGATATTGAGATCCGGTTTTCATGGAGCTGTTGGGCTCCTATTTGACTATTTAATGACTTGACAGAAAATTATTTTGTTGCGATTGTCAGAAAATGCCATCTAGTGGAAATATCAGCTATAGCTATCGCCTTATTCATATAGCACTGTTAATAGCATAGAAAAACTGTTTTCAACCACTCCAAGTATATTAAAATGCATTAAGCCGTTTGGAATAATCAATTATTTCCGAATATCCCCACTTTCCAGAGAGTTCACAAACTCGAAATTAATTTGCTTCTTATGTATTTGTTTCTAATTATCTACACAAAAATCATTTAACAAGTTACCATTGGTCGAAACAAATTGTATTACAATTTGGTTTAAACTCTATAAATATTTTAAACTTAAGAATAAATTAGATTGGAGAACATAAAGTAATGCCATACTACAATTTGTTGTGTACAAAAATTAAGAAAAAAAATATATTTATTAGATCTAAGAAATTGTAAATACCGAGTCGCACACAAACACACACACACACACACACACCCGCGCGCGCACTGGCATATAAATAATAATAAGAGTTCATTTTAGGTAAGCTTTTACTTGTCATCCATTGTACCTGGATCAATCATTTATGCCTCCATAATGGGAAAACATCAAAATGAAAAGTTTGTTTACTCAGTATTTCAAGTAAACTGCAATTTTGTTTACGTTAACACATTGTCCGTTATAATAACACAACTAAAATTACACAGTTCAATGTAATTTTATATCTTTCTGTAAATATAAATAAAAATGGCAATATATATTTACAATGAATTTTTAATCCACTACTTGAAATTAGAAAAATTCATGCAAATAGAGCAGATTGGAGATTAGCGCTTAAAACAATTAATTCTAATTACGTAATTTTGCACAATATTTTTTTCTTACTCAAAAAAATATCAGGTTATAAGACTTGTAAATTTCATTCCCGAGTGAAAAATCTACAGACACGTTGCGCAAAACTGAGACATCCGTTATTCATAAACCGCATATCTATAAATCATTTTCACTCTAAAAATATTATCTCTGACACGTTACATACCATGTAAGTGGGGGTACGACCCCCAAAAGTGTTTAACAAGAAACACCTTTCAAACGTGGCACTTGCTTGGTCGCACGTGAATATTTTAGATGACCCTCTTTAGTGACTGATGGTAGTGAACAAAAATAGATTACCGTAAGCAATTGAAAATAACCCATACATGGAGGGGGCAAAACTAACGAAACTGTCTCCGAAAATTGCTTGCAGACTTGCTTCATATACACCACCAGATTGCAAAGATTCTAAAAAAATCTTTATAATAATTGCATAGTTACGTAGGGGTACGAAATGATAAAGGCTGTGAACAGGGGCAAAGCCACTAAATATCAAATACTTATTCTGGGCTGTAAACTACTCTGATCTGTGATATTGGGCTCATTACGATTCAGCGCTTTTATGACCGGTCTTGTATTCCTACGTAGTAATTTTGTATTGCGCTGTTTGTACGAAGTGTGTTCAAAAAGTACGGCGGCTATTATAAATGGGTAAACAACGTATATTCGATCTTCGACATATTTTTTTGTTATATTGGAACACTTTGCGCGTTTACTTTTTTTGTGAGGCAGCAGTGTTAGACGTGTTTTGTGTGCGGCTATTTTCTGCTGTCAAAAAAAATGTAACAAACAATTTGCATAAAATTTTGTGAAAAAAATGGAATACAGTGCTGTAAAAGACTTGAAATGTTGACAACGGTATATGATGCGCAAAAAAAAATTTATGTGGTACAAGCTGTTCCAAGATGGCCGAGAAGACGCCGATGACGAACCTCGCTCTGGACGCCCTAGCACGCTGATGAAAGCGTTGAAGAACCCAGAATCGCCAGAACCTAAACAAGCACGTCAATTTAGATCAAATGTCAAGGTTTTGCTAACCGTTTTCTTTGATTATCGTGGCGTAGTATATTAAGAGTTCTTACCACAAGCAATACGAAAAAAACGTCCGGATGCATTTACTCACTCGTCGTTGCTTGTGGCTAATTTTTTGACCAAAAACAAAACCACAGTCATGCCTCGGCCACCACATTCGCCGGATATGACCCCCTACGACTTTTTTCTGTTCCCAAAACTCAAGAAACCCATCAAAGGAAGGAGGTTTTCAACTATTGAGGACATAAACTTACCAGAAGTGCTTCGAGCATTGGAATAAACGTTGACACATAAACTTAAAAGTCACCTTACTTTTTGAACGTATAGGTCCAGTACACGAAGCAGAGGAGACTTACGAACCGAAAAGAAAGTGTCATTTGAATAGGTGCTGCAAGAGAATTGTTGTTATATGAAGGTATCATTTGCCTAATACTTATATTATCTTTATTATCGGACAATTGTATACACTGTTTCTAGGTATTTAATCTTAAAAACTGTTTGAAAAGACACCAAGTAACGTTTACTATAAAATTCCTGAAACTTTGACATAGCAAATAA